GCAGAAATTCTGGTAGTAGATAAAATAAGTTAAAACTTAACAAAAGATACATGTAAAAAGGTGACTAGCACACATTTAGTTGGTGTAAAATTTAAATAATAAATGCTGGGTCAGGGGTTCTAGTCATTGGGGTTCAGGGGGTCAAGTTTATTTGGATCAGGGGGTCAAGCAAGATTAAGTATTGATGGATATTGATTAAATTATACCATGTGGTAAATTTTAGCCACAAGGAACCATACAGGTCAGATAGCTGAGTACTTTGAGTAGGCCTAATCTTTATTGAGTTCTTTTACAGTTGATAGACACTTAATATAGGCCAACTCAAGACATGCAGTTCAGTGTTTTGTTTAAACTATCAGGGGGGTGGGGGTAGACTTAAAATTTAAAATGTATTTATTTTTATTTTTTTAGGGGGGAGGGGGAAGAGGCCTGAAAGAGGTTCTTGAAAGAAATTCTGATGCATTTACATGTTCCACATGGAACATTTTATAAGTTAACTAGTTATGTGGTAAACATAAGACACAGAACTATAGATCAGCTAGCTTTTCATGGAATCCAATATGTGAATACAGATCCTAGATTTAAAAAATCAGAACTACTGAAACTAAGGGGCAAGTAACTCTAATAACCTTAAGATCAACTGGCTTCTCATGGAATCCAATATGTGACTACAGATCCTAGATAGGATACCTAGACAGTAAGCTGTAACTACTGAAACTAAGGGGCAAGTAACTCTAATAACCTGTGATTCACATGAATGGTCAATGTAAAAATGAATCTACATATCATAAACACAACATATAATCGGATTATCATCAATTTGTTGTTTCTTGAGATCAGCAGACTGTCTATGCTGTTGTCTCCATGTAACAGAAATATTAAAATTAAATAATTAAATACTTTTTAAAATGACAAATCTGTTTCAAATCTTTTTAAACATTGCAATTTCTTGCCCTATTAAAAAAATATATAATCAGTTAACAATTTGATGAAAAGGGAAATTTAAATTCCAAAACTTTTTAAACTTCTATGATAACCTAGAAAACAAAAAGAAATTGATAAAAAAAAATTAATTCTAAAATTAAAAAGGTCTTTACCGTCTTGAACAAAGAAAAATAAACAGGTGGTTTGAATGAAAAGATTTCAATATTTAAAAAAGAAAGAAGAAAAAAAAAACATAAAAAAAAACAAAACATGCACCAAATTGTCACAGGCAAACCAGACACATTCCTCACATTATATGATCTGTATGTTCTTTACCAGTGATTCAACATACACGCATACAAAATGTTAAAGCAAAATTAATCCAACCCAAAAGATACAGAACTAAAGATTTATAAATTATGGATGAGATTTAACAATGAATTGATACATGAATAAAACAAATATCAAACTAATGATTCACATGCTGGTCTGTTTACCTTTTTTTTAAAATCTACAATTTCCTACTCGATTAAAATTTTGAATTACTTATACACATGAAAGAAAACAGGCCCACCTGTTGAATAAAAATATCTTTAAAATATTATAATCACTTCATTGCAACTACAAGCTTCATTGAAAAAAAAATAAAGAAAAAAGAACTATCAAAATTCTTATTGAGATCTACTTTTTAGTTAATTTAACAAAACATAGACACTTTTTGTAATTGTTTATAAATTAAAAAACTGATGAGCTATTTGTTTAGTAAATTAACTTTGTGGATAGATTATGACCTCATTAATTGATTGTGACCTAAGGTTGAAATCAACTGATTAAATTAAATAATACCTGATGAACATAACAAAATTTTCTTCTATTCAAGTTTTTCAAAATCAATATTTTGTCTATGCAAACTTTAATTAATTAGCAATTAATAATGAGAATGAAATTATCTGTTGAATTATTAATGTAGTAACAGATTTATATTTATATTAGATTTATATTGTAATAGAGAACAAAGCACTACTGACCAATCATGACACAGCTTATTATAATAATGCCTAAACAAAACATTTAGTTGAAAGGTTGAGCACACATTTTAAGTTATGAGCTATACAAGGTTGTGATCAGCAACACATTAGAAGTCTTAGATGCAATGTTACAAAAACCTTAATGAGTTAATAACATTATAAGACAGATTTTTACACTGTTGTAAAATTTACAACCTTAGATAAAAACACAAAGACAGACTTAGATTACTACAAAGTTGGTAGTACATAACAATCAATTTAAGAAAACAATGAGGTTTTAAAAAAGTGTAAATGCATCACTAACTTTTAATGGAACAAAATATTTTAACATGAGTTTAACACCTTAATTGGGATCAAGAACAATATCAACTTACAGCTTGAATTTTTAAAAGTATTTTATTTTTTAATTCCCTTTTTTTAGTTTGCTATAGATTTTTTTACTGAAACTTTGATTTTTTAAAAGTTTTTTCAATTCTCACATTTTGATAATATTAACAACTTTTTTTTAAATACATGACAGATTCCAAAATTAATTTGTTTAGAAGTAGGCATAGTATAATAATTTTTGTAACACTTCATCAAGAACTTGCTTACAATATGAAAACTTGAGGTAGAGCCAAGAGTTTTCTAATTGTCGCACTCAAACAAACCAAAATAAAGTTACACAGACAATTTTTAAAGAATCGATGACAAACAATTTTTCTTATCAAACAACTAAATGTTGTGACAACTTGAGTTGTAACCACAGTATGTTTTTTTAATAGCTCAAACAATAACACAAAAAGTAGTCAACACCTTGCTACAAGTGCGTAATGCAGGTGCATTAGAGTAACATTCACACTGATGACATAAAACAGTAATTGTTAATGTGAATTTAGCTAGAATGACATACTGCACAATAAGCAAACGTTTAAAAAAAAAAGATCTGGTATTTTACAATAAAAAATTAGCAGCTAACTAAAAGGTTTAACAAAACAATAAATCCCTAGATAACTAACATAATCTTAGTCTTAGACTAGTGTTGCATGCACAGTTTTAAAATTTACAGCTACACAATATTCATGCATCAAATGTTTCCAAATATAAATATTTAAAACACACAACAAAAATTCACCACAAGCGGAACAATGGAAATAACTTCAAGATGGAATGGATAATACTTGGATCAGATGTGTATAATGACCTAAATCTAATAGTAACAGCACCAACAAATTCAACAAGAAGAGGTTTGTAGAGCTAACAAAGCTGTATGGTTGTACAGCTTACAGAAGCTGTTTAGTTGTACAGCTTACAGAAGCTGTATAGTTGTACAGCTTACAGAAGCTGTTTAGTTGTACAGCTTACAGAAGCTGTTTGGTTGTACAGCTAACAAAGCTGTTTGGTTGTACAGCTAACAGAAGCTGTTTAGTACAACTATAGATTAGACAGCTGTTCACTAGAACAAAGCTTAATGGTGATACTATTTTAGTAGTAAAGTTAAGTTCAGTCTAGTATAGCTTACTGATACAGCTATAGTTTAGCTTCATTGAGCAGGTATAATAGTAGGAAGTGATTAGCTGTTTAATAAAACACCACAAAAAACAGCTGTGATTGTATATACCTTAATGAAACTGCACAAATACTAAATTGAGCATTGAATTATTAATAAAAACAAAATTATTTCAAATTAAAAATATCCTTAATCTCAATGGTTAATAAGTGTTTACCTCTAAAAGTTGTATAATTTGCAGCACCCCCTCTGAATGAATTTTTAATATTAGCTAATTAGTTATCTTACTTAAAACTATTTCTTTAAAGTCAATAGATACATTACATTTTCAAAACAGGTAAAGTTATTAATAATCTTTAAGTCTAATCTAACCACAAACTGAGCAAAGGATTTCTGTTTTGAGTGTCTACTAAATGAATAAAATAGAATAAACAGTATGTAAATATGTATTTGTATAAGCTGCATAATAAGGCTCATTGTTTATACGATTTCATATGTTCTAGACAACAGATCTGCTAGAGTTTTATTTTAAGTTTTAGCTGCTTGAAAGTTTTTTTTACTGCCAGAAGAATATTGGGACAAACATGTCAAGGCAGAAAATGTACCTAGATGGAAGAGGAAGCTAAAAAGTTGAACTCATGCGAAAAAAACAAAACAATATAAAACCAATTAAATAAAATTATAACAATAAACTGGCAAACTAAAAGGCACAGGAAAAACATTGTTACTTTGGTGTTCTGATAAAGAAAAAATGAGAGAAGGTAAGTATGTAAAACGGCTATAATATAAACAACGAAATAGGATATATATATATATATATATATATATATATATATATATAAATAAACCAAGATAAATTAATTTGAAGATTGACTAAGTGACTAATTATTGGTGAGCAAAGACATTTCTATTTTGAAGAACTTAAAGAATACATTCTTATAATCTCAATGTCAATGAATAAAATTCCAAAACTAACTATTAAATGAAGAGCTTTAACAGAACAAATGATCAAATACAAAATATACAAACAACAACAAGGACTAGAATATCAACATGAAATGAATGTCATGTGTTTTAGTTTATAGGTAACATTTTTGTAATGCGTTAAAACAAATAGAAAAGCATTAAACCAACTTAAATGTAAAGGGTGTTAAATCAGATATATTTTATAGTCTAAAGACATTGTTACATACTCCTAAATGGATGCTAATAGGTGCCTTAGAGCCACTGAACTTGCATTTTAAAAAGAAAAGATTGTTCCTTCTACAAGTGCCTATTAAAAAGTGGCACAACTTAACTTTAATCAATTTTAAAATAAAATGAAAACAATGAATTATCAGTATTTAAAATTCAGTTGTGAAGCCAAATAATATCCAAAGAGAATAACCATGGGGAAAATTATATATATATATATATTTTTTAAACTGGTCCTAAATCTTAACAGCTACTGCAACATATTTTATCAATATCAAGTTTAAAGGGAAATAACTGTGGCAAGTGGTTTTTTTTTTTTTAAATTTATTTACATTCACTACCAGTGAAAACAAAAAATCTACAATGGTTGATCTCTTTAGTTTTTTGTCCTTAATTTATTGAATAAAAAAAATTCAAATCTGAACTTATTTTAAATATCTGAAGTGGTTTCTGTTATTTAGATTTTTAACTCAACGTCAAAAAAGGTCTGGTAAACTGGTTGAATAAAAACAAAATTAAGTTAATTAACATGTTTAAAAACCAACTTATACTTTAAGAGAAATAAATACAGTGAGTAGTAGTTTTATTGAACAAATTTTACCATAATAAAACATTAGATTAGAAATAAATAGTGCTTTAAATTTACATGCAGCATAACAGGTAGAAAAGTTGAACAGAGATGATAGCTCGATCGAAGAAATCTTTAAAATCTAACCTGCTGGGGTACCTAAACTAAATTAACATTAGGATACAGAGGACCCTTGGTCATCAGGTGGTAGAGTCTCTACCTGTGATGTTGTATCGGCTGTGCTGTCAGTCATCTGCGACGTACTCTCAGTCACTTCACTGGTGCTGGGGGTGACATCAGTCTCAGCATCCCCCTTCTCCTCAAAAGCGTTACTACTGCAGTCCAGGTTCCTGGGTTTCATATTCGACGCTGGGAGAGAGAAAAAATCATGCTTGTCGAAATCTGGGATCTCTCTAAATCCTGTCGCGGATTTGATAGCGGCATTTGTTTTTCTTCCAGTAGGCACAGGAGGCTTCTTGTACATCTCAGCTGCTGCCGTGGCAAATGTGTCGGACGATACAGATTCAATTTCATGGTTCTGGTTTGTGGACAAAGCTTCATCAGCGCTGACTGGTTTACCGTTGGGGGGCGGACCTCGTGCGCTGGCAGGTGGAGATGTAGCATCAGTAAAGCTGTCCACATCACACCATTGGCTAGACTGTGAAGATTGGGGGTCTGGTCTCCCAGGAGAAACAGGTGCATCCTGGGAGGCAGCTGACTGGGAAGGATCTGTATCTTCGTCACTGGTCTCTTCCTCTTCACTTTCTTCATTGGCTTCTGGAAATTACGAAATTTTTTATTCTTTAGTTTTTACAGTGTAAAGAATATTCATAACAGTTTTACTTTCCAAAGTTAGATAAGAAAGCTCAGATAAATATCTTCTACAGATATTTTTAAAACTGCTTTTAACAAGGATCTTTGCACCCCACTAACTTTCCAAAGTTAGATAAGGAAACTAAAAAAATTATCTTCCTCGAGAGATTTTTTCAAACTGCTGTTAACAAGGGTCTTTGTACCTGGTCTTCTTTCAGCCCCCAGGGGTGCAAAAAATTCAAGTCTTGGTGCCAGTGGCCGCTGCTTCCTAGCAGGGTTAACATGGTAACAGTAACAGCAACGAAAAGCTGAGGAGATGGAATACATCTATGTCATTCAACTTTAAATGTAAACCATAGGTCTAACCTTTATAACAAACTACAACAATATAGAAAAAAATTTGTTTTCAAATATTAAATAACATATGGAATGTATGCGGATTATTGACTAAGGAAATATACACGGATTTTACATTAAACTAGACAAGATTTATCAAAATAGTGAATTAGTCGTAAGTTAAAATAAAATCATGTGTTATTATGTTAATCTTATGTATTTTTAAGCAATTAACATCATACTTTGTTATAATTAGAAGTTTCAGTAAAGAACACCATGTTTTGTTAAATAGATGTTTCAGACATTAACGTCACATTGCGTTACTTAGAATTTCCCTTACTTAGGTATTCAAACTCTTCTTTGAGAGCCATCCCATTGTGTGAGTAGCACTGGTGACAGACAAGGGCATAACGGTTCTCTGGGCCATCCCCCACCAGGTAGTCCATCAGACGGTCCATGGTGCCCCGCTCCCTGGGCAGGACTGTCCTTGGCATTGGTGGACCAGGTGGCGCAACTAGAGTAGAATAATATTATTTATTAGAGTTTCAGATTAATTTTAAGTGTACCCAACTATAAAACATAAATAGAAAAGGAACTATTCTAATCAAACATATAAAACAATAAAAGTTTGTCTTTTATTTTAAGGAAGTCAATAGTTTTGATGCAAGTAATATGTATAATTTAGTTAATAATTTTCAGAAGAAAATGGATAATTTAGTTAATAATTTTAATAATTTTCAGAAGAAAATGGCTCTAAAGGAACAGCCTAGTGCTCAAAATCCTGGAGTTTTGGTGAAAATCAAACTAAACATTGGTTATTACCTATCTAATTTGACTTTATCTCATGTAAACCTATTAATGTTGAAGTATTTACTGAAGTTCCTCTTTCAAACAACAATATAAAATAAAAAGTAACATTACTTTATGGCTTTTTAAAAGAACTTTTGACACTAAATTTAATCTTCATATTACATCTAAATTTGTAGCTAAAAATTACTCTAAAAATAAATTCCTCTAATAGTAGAGAAGTTTTATTACAACATAAATCACCCTAATGGTGATGTTTAATTTAAATACAATAATTGAGGTTTTTTAAAATTATTTTTAAGAAAAATGACATACATTAATCAATTAATTAATAGAAATCCATAGTTCACCTTATTTTAATAACACTTGTTGGAAAAAGGCCACAAAAGACTTAATGAATCCTGTATCCCTCTGCCATGGCCATAGGGGTTTTAGCAGTTAATACACTCATGTAAAAAGGCCACAAAAGACTTACTGTATCCTCCTGCCATTGGGGTTCTATCAGTTAAAACACATGTAAAAAGGCCACAAAAGACTTACTGTATCCCCCTCCCATGGGCATTGGGGCTCTAGGTGTAGACATACTCATGCGAGGTCGCATCCCCGGGGCGCTCTGGTTCTGCATGTTGAGTGGGGTAGCTTGGGTGGCCACCATTCTAGGAGAGGGCATTTGTTGGCGCATGCTTGGGACGCCCCTTGCTTGATGGGTGGTGCTTGCTACTCTCTGGTGAATCACTGCACAGGTGGGGGGAGATAAAATTTGTAAAGCACATGTAGATCAGTTGGTGGACAAATTTGATGACCCATGGTCAGGTCATTACAAACTAAATAAAAAAACGGACAGAATTCTCATGGTATGAAAAAAGGGTGTTTGACAAGTACCAGTAAATGATATTAAAAACTTGATTTAAGAATGTCTACCAGAAAAATGATTTTAAAAACTTGATTTAAGATAAATACCAGTATTAAGTATATTAAAAAATTGATTTAAGATGAGAACTGGTTTTTACAACTAGGGAAGCGAGACTAAAATATCTAATGGTTGTTTTTGTAAGTGACACCTAGAAACACAAATATGAATTAATTTTATTAAGAGAAATCAATGAATGATTAGTGAACAGGGTTGAAGCTGTGTTCTAAAATGATGGATATACGTGAACAGGGTTGATGAAATATTTTATTTTCTGAATATTTTTTTAAACCATACAAGCAAAACAGTTTACAAATGTATTTTATGTTATTTAAAAAATTTCTACACAACTAAATGTATGTGTTTTCTGCATTATTGTTTTTATGGTCAGTGTAGGATTATTATTAGGATACAGACTAGGATAAGAGTTATAGAAGCAACACTAGCATCTAAAATGTTTTTCCTAGGTACCATGTTTTGAATGACATAAATCTACATTAAGATGACGGTCAAGAAATTATATAACTGAATGTCTAGTGTAAAATATGAATGAACAATTTGAAAAAAAATAATGACCTGTGCCAGCTGTAGGGGTTTGCGGCCGAGCGTTTGCCTCTGCGTTGCCCTGTAATGAAGGGAAAAATTTCAAATTTAATTTTTATAAAACTTCACATTTAAACAAAATTCAATGACAATATTTTCTTTCTCGTAAATGATGAGCATTCATAGACTAATACTAATCAGATGTGTTACATGTTAGACAGTAAAAACTCACCTCTAACTGTCGTAACCTAGAGGGATCAAACTTTTCTAAAATCTCTCTTGCTTTCTTGTAGGTTTCAGTTTCCATGACATCTTCCAGCTAAAATGTTAGTCAAAATATCTGATTATTGATAATTTTCTTCAACAAACCAGGACTCTTAATAACTTGATGCAAAATAAATTAGGAAAAAAAAGCTATTTTTATTCCTTTCTTATAATTTTTTCAAGTTATTACTTTTGTAACACTAGTGTATAATGGTGATTAAAAACAATGAAAACTAACTTAACCAAACAAACTAAATTAAAGACTAAGTCTCCAAAAACACAAAGATTATGGAAAGACAAAGTTAAATGCAGTTAAAACTTACAATTTGTTTTTTTCTTTCTCGCAGACCTTGTAATGCAACATCTAAAATTTTAAACAATCAACAATTAAAAGTATTTTAGTGAAATTCATTGTAAAAGTTAAATAGACTTTAAATAAAGTTATTTTCAAGGCAAATCTTTTAAAAAAGTTTTTTTTTTTTTGTAAATTAAATTTGTCTGCGCATAAAAGTTCACTATACACACCATTAGATGAAATTCGTTTCACAAAATACCAATTCAACAGCTTTTTCATACCCCATATTCTGGAAAACAAAACACTTCTCAATGAAACACAGCGTATTGAAAATTAAATTAGTACAACAAAAAATGAGTGGGATGGAGTGGTCTAGCGGTAGAGAGCTGGACTGCTAACCCGCAAATCTCGAGTTTGAATCCGGGTACAAGTCAGTAGACCGTCCCTGAGTCCACCCAACTCTGATGGGTACCTAACTCACGTTAGGGAAAGTAAAGGCGGCTGGGCATAGTGCTGACCACACTATCTCTTCATATGCCGAGGTCACAGAAACAAGTGAACTCTACTTCACTTGCCCTATAGAACGTCAGGTTTGAAAAGGGAACTTTACTTTACAACAAAAAATGAGGATTTTAGTTATTTTTAATTTTCACTTAATTTATACACGTCTTCTGAATGGAGCTATTTAGTCTCAAGTAACAGTGATTCTCAAACAGTTTTTCTTTGGAATGGAGCTATTTAGTCTCAAGTAACAGTGATTCTCAAACAGTTTTTCTTTGGAATGGAGCTATTTAGTCTGCAGTAACAGTGATTCTCAAACAGTTTTCATGACTTCAGCAGCAAGGTCAACAGATTCGAACAATAAAAAAATCCTGATCCACAAAAACTAGACTGTACTTACAAGAATGGGAACACCAGCAAGGGGAGAGAATACAGCAGCCTCAGCTCCCATGTGTCGGGGAAATATAACAAGAAAAACAAAATGGCCACCACAACATAAACAAAGATGGAGTATATAAGCAGCCGTGTAACAAATTTCTTTCGCTTGTCCTGGTTCTCTTTACGGTTTCTCTGAAGTCTGGTAATTTCCTGGTGAGTACAATAGCATTTTCTTCTTATCAATCATAACAATAAATTTAAAAAAAAACCCATTAAATTGTAGAAAACTTTTAGCATAGATTTTTAAATGTCAGACTTTACAGCACACTATATGGCATATACAGTATATTATTTTTGTGGTTTATGATCTATATTCTGCACTAACCAATCAATATTATAAAACATACATTTTGTAAAGCCTATTCCACCATATAATCCATGGAAAATTCCTTCTCATTAAATCATTACTTCTGCTGCAGCATTACTCGCTAAACTTTACAGTAAATTTTATTCCAATATCTTGCTGTTGCTCCAACATTGAAATTTAATTATTTTGCAGATTTAGCTCACGCAACTCTCAGCATTGATCATGACCAACCTACCTTTTCTATTCCTTCCAACACTTCAATTGTGGTTTGCTGTCGCTATAAAATAAAAATGTAAACGTCAAATTTATTAATTTTTTATCAATAAAAACATTAGGCCTATATAAAGTAATGGGGTGATTTGTAAGTTGTGAGACAGCTAAACCTGTTTTATTATTTTATAGGTGGGCTACAATATACTAGCAAAGTTGAATGATTATAGATACCGGTGTCCGATAATGGAATCTTCTTTAGGGGTGTTGGGTTGTTAGTAGTATTGTAATCTCGACTAATTTTATGGTTAGAAATTAGGGTTAGGCGTATGGTAGGACGAGGATTGGGGTTAGGGACAGGGTTAGCATTGACATTAGCTAGCCATGTGTGTATTTAGTTAACTTTTTTTAAAGAAGATTCCAATATCGGACACCGGTGTAAACATTCCCTGCAAAGTCAAATAGTAACTTTTGGTCTAAAAACAAACTAACGAATCTAGCTTAGATCAGTACTAGATCTAGATTATCTAGATCTATTCTAGACTAGATCTACTACTGATTCTGTAGATATAGGCTGTATTATTCTATAATGTATAGATCTAGCCTAATTATAGATCTAATACTAATACTATAGAGTTAGACTATAGTACTATAGTTATAGTAACTTATAGACGTATAAGCAGGCAATTTTGGTAATCTATCGTTTTAGGTAAGTAAAATCGCCCGCGCCTAGTAATGTACGAAAAAGTTACCTCATTGTCAAGGCTTTAATAGAAGTATATTGTGATAAATTTGTGTCAAATATTATAGATAAACGAATAATAAACCTAAATCAATGGCTAAATATATCAATATTGAATATAGGCAAGAAATTAACTTTAAACAGAAGTGTTTGCAGGCAGGATTTGCTATATAAAAAGCGACCATCTGTAAGTTAAAGTGGCTTCCCCTGAATCTTGCGCTATAAGTTTATAAAAAAAAACTTCAACAAGATGGCTGCTATAGTAGCTGTAGTAAATGAGCAATGTATGTTGCATCTATTGGAAACATCGCTAATTAGTAATTTTCATTTATCCTACTGAAAAGTTTTAAGTAAATTGTTTAGGAGTTTAGGCCTAACAGGTAGGCCTACAAAAAAGGCTACAACTACATAAATGAAACAGGGAAACATTTTTGGGTAATCTATCGTTTTGGGTACGTAAAATCGCCCGCGACTAGTAATGTGAAAAACAGGTGACTCCTTACATTTTAATAATTATTTCACATTTTGAGGAGGATTTATGTTTTGAAAAATACAAAAATGTTTCCATGTATCATTTATGTACCTGTTTTTAAACAATTTAATTAAAACTTTTCAGTAATAAATGAACACCAGCGATGTTTCCAACAGATGCAACCATGCTCATTTACTATAGCAGCCATCTTGTCAAAGTTTTATTTTTATAGACTGATAGCGCGAGATTCAGGCGGAAGTCACTCTATTTTACAAATGGCTGCTGTTTATATAGCAAATCTTGCTTGCAGACACTGCTGTTTAAAGTTAATTTCTGGCCTATATATATTGATATATTTAACCATTGATTTAGGTTTATTATTCATTTATCTATAATATTTGACACAAACATATTACAATATACTTCTATTACAGTTTTTTTTACAGCCTTTGACAATGAGATAACGTTTTCGTACATTAATAGCCGCGGGCGATTTTACGTAGGCCTACCCAAAACGGTAATCTATCGTTTTGGGTACGTAAAATCGCCCGCGGCTATTAATGTACGAAAACGTTACATCATTGTCAAGGCTGTAATAGAAGTATATTGTGATATGTTTGTGTCAAATAAAACTAGATAAATGAATAATAAACCTAAATCAATGGCTAAATATATCAATATAGGCCAGAAATTAACTTTAAACAGCAGTGTCTACAAGCAAGGTTTGCTATATAAACAGCAGCCATTTGTAAAATAGAGTGACTTCCGCCTGAATCTTGCGCTTTAAGTCTATAAAAATAAAACTTTAACAAGATGGCTGCTATAGTAAATGAGCATGGTTGCATCTGTTGGAAACATCGCTAGTCTTCATTTATTACTGAAAAGTTTTAATTCAATTGTTTAAAAACAGGTACATAAATGAAACAAGGAAACATTTTTGTATTTTTAAAACATAAATCCTCCTCAAAATGTGAAATAATTATTAAAATGTAAGGAGTCACCTGTTTTTCACATTACTAGTCGCGGGCGATTTTACGTACCCAAAACGATAGATTACCCCCAAAACGATAGATTACCCATTTTTGTATTTTTCAAAACATAATTTAAAATTAATCCTCCTCAAAACGTGAAATAATTATTAAAATTTAAGGAGTCACCTGTTTTTCACATTTTTTTAGTCGCTGGCGATTTTACGTACCTAAAACGATAGAATAGATTACCGCATTTTTTTAGATTCTCTTTCTAGAAGCTAGATTCTAAGTCTAGAAAGTAGAAAGATAGATTTTAGTTTTTATTCAATTTTATTGTAAAATAATAAACCTTGAATCTAGATATTAGAGCTCCCATGATAGTCTAGATTCTAATACAATAGGTACTACAAGGACTGGGCGAAAAAGTAGACCAGTTTAGATCATCAAATTGTTATCATCCATCCGTCCGTTTAGAGATGAGTGGGAATTTGTGTATGTGTACCGTGTTGTTGTTTTTTAAAACATCAGACGGTCATACTAGCTAACGAACAACAACAAAATTCTCACACGAACATTTTCGACCATTTTGTTTTCTTGCAAAATAAATAAATAAATAATATTAATAAGGGGGTGTGTAGTGACACGACATTTTATTTTTTAACAAAATTTATAATAGACAAATCAATTTCTATTGTTTCAAGTAAACATCTAAAAGTTAATACTGATTTTTGATTAAGTAATGAGTCCACCCTAATTAATTAAGAATATTTATCTTTTTCATACTTTATTATACTAATTACAAATAATCATAATGATAATAATGAATAATATTTTTATACTCTATTTACTATTTATTTTATATGATAGATGCACATAATTTATATAATATACAAGTACTTACAATTAATGGCATGTTAAAATAGAAATTTTGCATGAGCTAAAAAATGGTGTAAAATTAATCAGTAATCAGTATTATTCAAGAGTACAAGAGTCATAAATTTCAAAAATATTTGAAGATAAAGTATGCAAAAGAGTCACATATTAATTATTCTACATAATATATTACTAATCATTAAAAAAGGTGTAAACATTTAATTTTTTACCTTCATATTTTTCCTAAGATTTTTTTCTCTATGATTTTTCTAAATAAATTGCACATTATATAGACAAAAAGTATTCATTACTATTATTAGTATGTTAATATTAATACATTTTAAAATGTGCCTACATTTTTTAACAAAAGAATAATAAAAAATGACAAGGCAATTAGTGTGGAGGAAGGTTTATTATTTATGGACTTTGATTTATAGAGAAACAATTTAAATTTATACTCAAAGTAACAACATTATAAAATTCCTAAATAAAATCAAAATTGTTTAGAAAATGACAAATCCATGATATATAAGTTAATTTGCCAATAATAATAAAAGCTGAAACTCCCAAATACTTGTCATTATTTTGTTGTAAAATATAATAATATTTATGAAAAACTGATTCAGAAACAAAAACCTTTATTTTAATGTACAATAAAAATTTCTTTTGATTTAACTTTAAACAAATCTTATGTGTAGAGTACAAAAAAATATATTTACAATTAATATCTTTTAAAACCTTTAATATAATGTTGCAAATTTATGGAGCAAGAATTTTAACAACTACCACTAAAAGATAATTAATTTTTACAGATATAAGTGTGGAGACAGAAAATATTTGCACCAGTATAACATATACCTAAAAAATAATTAATAACAGTATGGTAGGTAAATATATATACATATATAAAAAAAGAATTCGGATTTAAATTTAAAAAAAACAAACAATATATTTACAGAATAATCAAAAAATCAATAGGGTTTAGAAAATTGTAAATAAAACTGCCTGACAAAATATTTATTTTTAAAATCCACAAACCCAGAATATTAGTTCAGAAAGTTTAGATGTAGTTTAAGCTATTAAACTTATTGAAATAAACATTTTGCAATCAAGCTTCCTTTTTTTTGTATAGGCTAGAATTATTATCTTCAAAAATATTGCATTTAAAACCATTGAATATCAGACTGGTTGATTGTTTTTGACCATAAGAAGAAAATCATAAGAATAGCTTATTGTTACTGCACTCTATCCAAGCTTTACATGTAGCAGCTGAATAGTTATAATGGATAACAATATACAGAATGTTTGTGTTCTCCATATAATTTAAATAATACTTACACCCCCAGTAAATCATCAGTTTTTTTTTCTCAATAACATAATAATGGGAAAAGTCTATTTAAAATTGTTTAAAATTTTAAACTTTGGTCAAATCAGTTTTAGTTCTCAGTAACATAAATGTGGCAAAAACATATTTTTAAATGGCTTAAAATTTTAAACATTGTATTAACTGTCAGATATAAATTAAAAACAAAATAGAAAATGTTTTTATGATTTTTACAATATGAGCATGAAAGGGTTTAAATTTGTATTTAAACTTATAACAAAATGAATCTTTCATTTTAAGCCACTTGCTTGAGATTATGCAAATATTTTAGGGTGTGGTTTATAATTTTGTCATATTATTACACACTGCTTTTGTGCTGTATATTATAAATAGAACACTGCCTTTGTTTTCTTAATTCTTTTTTTTATTAACAAGTGTTGCCTTATTTATGGAATGGTTGGATGGAAAGGTTCACACCGCTAGCTTTATTCCTTTTGAGGTAACAAGTATTTCTTTATAAAATGGTTTCTATAATGTTTGTTAATAAAAAAAGTTTTTATAGTACCTAACCGTTATGTGGATTGGTGGTCTCAGGAAATAAATAATTTTATATTGAACAGGGGGAAGGGAATGTACAAAAATGTAAAAAAAAAATGTGTTAATGTGATTCATCAATTTAAATGATTTTGCATACTGTAAACTAGTCATTATTATTTTTTTTCATCAGATATAATATCTTCAGATGATGAATTTTCTTTCCAGAAGTACCAAACACAGCTGATGTTGAGTCCAGTTTTTTTATCGTATCCACTATGTGGAGCATAACCAGAGAACAGACCATCTCTGCCAGGTACCCACACCGGTGCCCCTGAACTACCTGGGCATGTGGCAGCAGTGAAGGCATATTTATACCAACCCTGATCACCAGACCCTTTTCCCCAATTTCTTTCACAACATTTTCCAATGCTCATTTGCTTTTCACGCCCATGGGGGTGGGAAACTACAAAAGAGATGTCTTTCCCATACAAAAAATCTTTCACCTCTGGCCACAGATGGGCCCAGGTTTTTCTTATACTGTCTAATTTCTGGCATAACTGAACATCATGAGTGACACAATCCATCACACAGTAATCTCCGTCCACGTCACTTTTAACAACTTTAACGCCCCTCGCAGTGATTACTGTAGACCTGTCATCAGGTTTATCATAAAAGAAATCGATAGTCGTTGCCTGGGCTTCAATATCATCAAAAACAACATGCATTGCTGTGTGCACTCTAAGGTAACCATGAACAAAGTGCGGCCCATCTATCACTGTACAGTCCTCAAATGGACATGGTATGTCAGTCTTAATCTTATCTACATAAACAGACCAAATTCTGCCACTTCCATACCTAAACATTCTTTTTCCTCTGTAATTATAAAAAGTGTAGCCAGCAGGCCTGGCTTCGCTGGTCCTGTTACATACAATTCTGACTGTTTCCATTGACTTGGAGATGAGAAAGTCTACAACGCTTTGTTTCTTTACAACATCTGGAAGGGTTTCTAGCGTCATGTCAAACACAGGCATATAGTTGGTGTGACTGGGATTCTTTTCACACATTATAAAAGCAGACTGTAGATCAGCCTCGCCATTAAAACTAACTTCTGTTTCATGGTCACCTATGCAAATATAAAACATATTTTGTTGAAGAATAGTATCGACCATTAGTATACTTTATGAGTAAAATTAATAAATGTAAAGTATAATCTATATTGCATTCGATGAAAACTGAAATAGCGTTTCAGTTGTGCTTTTAAAATTGAAATACAAAGCAAACAAAAATATTCAGTAATTGAGGAAAAGTTTCCTAACTTACATAGCTTATAATCTATATATATATATATATATATATATATATATATATATATATATATATAATTCTCTTCATGGAGACCATAGAAAACACCACGCAGCTTAGCCACCACCCTCATCCCCACCTGTCAGATGAGCTATGGTTCACCCCCAAATGTTTACAATAGTAGAGCAGGTTCAAATAAGTGACAGCTATTAGGGGTAGATAATTTAGTTTTTAAACAATTTGAAACTAAGGGGAGATAATAAGTTCTGCCTGATATTTTCATTGTCGTCTGAAAACGCCTGCTTTCACTGGGCAGGGTGGGGGAGGCAGGGGGTGGGGTAGTGTCGAATTCACAAATTATGAATTGTTGATAAGTAGAAAATAAAACAACTAGATAGCGGCGTATACTACGTCGCAGGTCTGCTCGTATATATATATATATATATATATATATATATATATATATATATATATATATATATATATATATATATATATATATAACTTCCAACCTTGATCTTTTCTGGCAAGTTTGGCCATCAGAATTGTATCTTCAGAAATTGGGATATGTCTTTCATCCATCTCCACTAGACTAGTAGCCTACAAAAATAATGTACATTTATCTATATAATATATACTATTATATACACCTCAGATAAGTGAACTTATCAAAGTTATATAGTAAAAAATATATACTTTTAATGTATAAAAAGTTACACATTTTTGCGTACTGAAGTTAATCCTAGACATGCCTAGGTTCAAGACTGATGATACTAAATACTATTGCTAAGTTATGATGATAGACTGATAGTATTAGTAAATCTCTAGATCTCTAGGCTAGCTGTTACTTTATGGTACATAGGTTATGTAATATGTAATATTCTTTTTTTTTTGTATGTGTAGTAGTAGGCTCTAAGTCTATTGTCTATAATATTTCTAGGTCATTTCTGTCTTTATTACTTAAATTAAACACACAGGTATTATAAAGTAAAACGTTCCTTTTCTATTTTTATGAACTTTTAACAAGTTTTTAAATTTGTTTTAGCTTTAAATTTTATAATAAGATCTATATAGATCTAGGACCTGTAAGAGTAAGTGTATGAGTATGGCGAATTTAATTTATTTAAATAATATTAAAATATTAGACCTAACAACAAGAACCAAAAATATAATAATTAGACTAATAATATTTATTTAATTTTAACCATTAGTTATTAGGGCCGAAAAAAAATATGTTTATTTCAAATCCATCAAATAATCAATCAATCAATCAATGTTCAATAAATAATAAATAGTTTAAAATAGGCCTATAGAAAATTGGTTTATCTGGGTGATTGGCGTCGTACATTTTGCAAAAACAGTACGGCCACGGGCGCAACAAAATTAAATTTGGTTGAGAATTTTTATTTATTTATGAATAGAAATATTGTTGAAATGAGAAAAAAACGATTACACAGTGATAAGGTAGATTTAGATTCTAATCTAGATCCCAAGTACTGTAGTAGTAAGCCTAAAAAATGGTTGACCAAATATTAGATCTATAAGTTTACAGTGTAAACAAAAAGTTGCCCTGGCAAAAATTTAGGGGAAACACCACCATCATTAACTGGAATTTCCCAAGCTAAAAATAGCCAAACTGTTGTTAGACTACTACTACTAGACTTAGTAGGTCATAAAAGATTTTCGTTTCTAAAGTTTGGGATCTAGATTTAACTATTGGCAAATAATGCATAACTTGTCTTTACCGGCAGTTTACCAATTGTAGCTATAGTATTTTAATATATTTTTTTTTAACCTTGTAAAATAGTTCCTATGCAATAATTTTATTAATATTAATAATAAGAAGAAATGAACTTGCAATCAAAAAATGAATTTATATTGTAAAGGATAAATTACATTAGTCAACAAATAACGAACTCAATAGATCTTCAGTGTGAATCCGGGTTCTAGTCTGTAAATTTCCCTGAGTCCACCCAGCTATGATGGGTACCTAACTCAGGTTAGGAAAAGTAAAGGCGGCTGGGCATAGTGCTGGACACACGATCCCTTCATATGCCAAAGGTACAGAAACAGGTAAACTCTACTTCACCTGCCACAAGGACCGGTTTGAAAGGGAACCTTACTGTAACAGTGAAACCTGAAAACACAAACCATCCAATTAACTTGATACGAGCCGACCCGCAGCGTATCATACGCTGCTATTTAGTTGTTTTATTTTCTACTTTTCAGTAATTCATAATTTGTGAATTCGAGAGTACTAATGCTGCCACTGAAAATATTTGCTTTAAAACACTAACCCCCCCCCCCCTTTTCCCCTAACCCCGACCCTACACCCCCCCCCCCCCCCGTGAAAGCAGCCTCCTCTTAGTTATTTCTTAGTTACCTCCTGTAAGTTTAAAATAGAACTAAATTACCTGCCCCTAATAGAAACCCGGCTCTACGATTTGTAAACATTTAGCTTTGTAAACATTTAGAGTGAACACCGCTCACCAGACAATGTGGGGGTGGGGTGGGGGTGGTAGTGATAGTGATAGAGAGAAAGAGAAGGGACTGCAAGGAGGCGCTTGCAGCTTGTTTTCTAACGGCTCCCAGAAGAAAATTATATATATATAGATAGATGCTGCATTCTTTCCCATCAAACCAGGCAATTACTAACCTGTAGAAAAGATTAATTCAGGCTAAGTTGCTCGGGTCTCATACCACTGAAATGAATAAGCTATGTGAATTTGACTATTTTTCTTTTTTTTTTTTTGAGGATTTATTGAGTACAGAAAAGAGAGCATGGATGTACTGCAGACAAATTGGCACATCAGTTGTGTCTTGATCAGAGTCTACTGCCCCCCCCCCCCTCCCCCGAACGAGATGGATTTATATAGTAAACATACACTTTTACAAGTGTCTGCCCCCGAAAAATGTTGACCACTCCCCCCTATCAAGTGCCCCCCCCCTGGAGAAAAAAGTCTGGAAGAAACACTGGTCTTGATTTGTTTAAAAGCCATCCTTCCTGATATAAATATAAAAATTACTTGTAAGTTTGAGCTGGTTAAAAAAAGAAGAAGACACACTTTACCATTTCTATTCAAGTTGCTTAATTAGAAAAATCTTAACAATAACAAGTCGTTAGGCCTACATAAGCCTAAATAATAATTTTTCATTACCGGTGTGATTTTTGTCAACAGTTTCACTGTAAAATATGCTTCAGTATTCAAAAAATTATTACATTAAAAAAAATTATGTTGATAATTGTAAAAACAAAATACAAGATACAACATTATCAACATATGTATGTATTGTCATGATATTTACAATATACAAATTTCATAACTGTTTTGTATGATTTTCATAAATGTACAAAAACCATTAAAATACAATTGCATTTTATTTATCCCAATACTTTTCATAATATTATTTAACATGTGCCACAAGAAACACAATATCTTATAAACCATCTAGGATATTTCTTAGAGAAGTGCCATGCTCTTTTGACAATCTTGTTATTTGTATGCACATGTTTCTGAGGATGCATTATGTGCACTTGCACGGATCATTAAAAAATGGCAGCATTTTTTTTTATATGATGATGTTGTCATTTATAGAAAAATCCTTATAATATATTTATAATTCCCCAAACTCAAATAGTATTAAAAAGTTGAATAAAAATTAATATCTAAAATGAACAATTAGATTATAATTTAGCATAAATGAATACATCTGTTATATAATATCTTGGCTTATGAGTATGCTGTTGTTATAGGATCAAATATGTAATTTATTTGTTAGAACATAAAACCAATGTTAGTTGTTGATTGACTTTCTTTCTAGATTATGGAAATAATTTTTTTTTGTATAGGAAAAAATGTGTAATTCATTAACAGAGTGTGGCTTAAATTATTAAATGTAGTCACATCTTTGAGATGGGAGTACTGGTATTAAATCAACTTGACTTACCAGCCATTATACTGGTAATGAATTAAAGATGTGTTTTTAAAACTAATTAAATCTCTTGTCTGTAAACTTTAAATAAAATAATAATAATATTAAAATTATAAGAATGAGTACAATATACAATAATATAGTATTTATAAGACAATTTGTTAAAGGCACCAAACTTATAATGCAGTTAAAAATGCATGTAATATTTGAATTGATAAAATTAATTATAAATCAACTCAAAGTCAGTCTAAGTTTTGTATCCAATACAGAAACCTAAGCAGTGAAATACAGTATTTTGCTAAGAACATTTTGTAATATCTCCTGTGCTTAAATGAAAACAATTCTAATTAGGAATGCCAATAAAAATGGAAATAATAAATATCTTGATGTTTAAACATACATTTTTGTAGATTTGTAGCAAAAATATTTAGCAGAAAATAAATTGTGAATCTGGTAATTAGTATATTTTACATAAATAACATTACATAAGTAAGCCATAAACAAACTTTCATTAGAAGTTTAACAACCAATAATTATACGTAAAAAACCTAGGTAATTAATTAACCGCTTAGTGCAGGTTAAGAAAAATATCTGACACATACACTAGCTCTATGCAGCAGTAAATACATAGTGTCTCCTTGAGTGGACTATAAATATAAAAAATTAAACTACAGAAAATGTTGGGAGCTATATTTACCTCAAACCCAAACAAGTAATACAGTAATTCCAAACATGCAAAGTTAATAACTTAACTACATTACAAAAATAGTGTCATGTAAGTTTTTAAAAATAAGCTAGTTTTGTTAATAATCATTACTTATTCATTATTCTAACACATTATAAAAAATAGATTATAAGATTTACATAAAAATGTGTTGTTCATAATTTAAAAGATTATTTCAGAGTTGGTCAAATATGATGCTGATTAGTTTACAGAGAAAAAAGATTCTTTAAAATTTTAATACATAATAATTTAATGAGCTCAAATGCTAAAAAGATATTGCTAGATTTCTTTTTAAAGAAATAAGATTAATAACTGTGGTATGTACAATAATATCAAACTGAATATCATTAATTTAAGTAAATTCTAAAAAAAAAATCTGCAAAAAAGGTAATGTTGACAAGCTGTATTTTTAAAACTCAATCAATCACATCCAAAGAACTCAGTCATTGAAATCCATACAACTCAATGATATCTGTGCAACTCAATGACATCTGTACAGCTCAGTCAATGACATCTGTACAACTCAATCACATCCATACAACTCAATCAACGACAGACTATTACAGGTGGTTGTAAATGAGTGGCCCCCAGAGACCAGTTGGTCCAGTAGCCTTGAAGTAATCAGGGATTCTGTGGTCCTTTACCAAACACTGGTCAAACACCCCTGCATAACTGTTCACTCAGGCACCTAGTGGCCTGTGCTAGTCTACAGAGTGACAGGGGATTACTTTTGTTAATTGTATTTTAAGTGTGATTTAAAAAACAAAATGTGCATCTGATGTATGCAGTGACTAAAATGACTGATTATGATTCATCAATACACACACTAGAAAAAATGAAATTGCATAGAACAGATAGTTAAAAACTATATGCAAAATTATGAACTAAATTATTCACAGTGAGCTAAATTATTTTTACCCACAATGTGAAAGCTAAATTTGTAATATATTAAAGTGTACTAAAATATTTGCAATGAAAATTAGATATAAATAAAAATATTAAGAGGATACACAATTTTTAAAATTTTCATTTTGAATGGCTAAACAATGATAAAAATTGTTTATTCATTTTTCTTGTTCATGCTAATAGGTCTATTCCAATACTTTATTTTACACCCACCTGTAAATTAGTAGAGTCAATAAATTATAGCCTATTTTCAAATGTGGTGTCTACTATACAGAGTATACAGAGTATGTTGGAGATGGCTTTGATTAGACCAAAATTATCCCTAATTTGTTTTGGAACTTCGTTTCACAAGTCATAATTACATATTTTATTCCAGAATTTAAAAAATAATTATCACAGTAGAACTTCAAGAACACTACAAGTTATATCAAAGCAATGTTTTGCTTGTATCACAAACATAACCATAAACCATGCTGACATACTAGCAGAAAAAATGTAATAGTAAATTGCCCTTTAGACATTCCAAATAGTAAGCAAAAGTTAATGTTTTCCTTTGTAAAATATTTTTCAACTGCCATTAATAACAGTTGTATTGTTTCTTTTTAAAATTGCAGTAAAACATCATTATAACATGGTAAATATTAGTTCTATTACATGATAATGAAACACAAACAATAACAAATGCATGATAAAATATTTTAAACTATAATGCTATTTGTAAAATGACCTGAGTATTAAAGTGATTGATAGACTATTCTAAGACTATGTTACTTGAAGACTAGTTATTCAATGTAAGTTAGATACATTGTAATCACATTACAGCATTTCTGTAAAAAAAAAAAAATAACAGCACAGAAGTTCCATTAAGTTTTCACTGATTTCAACAAAGAAGCTTTTTCGTAATCGTCATTCAATTCTGCTGTAGTACGGGACTCCTCTTCATCAGGCACATCCACTTCAATATCATCAATATCTGCACGGCCAAACGACGTTTTGATGAAAAACAGCAGGGGGACAGCCATGGTGACTGACCCAAAGAAGCACCAGTTCATCCATTGTTTTCCTGGTATAGGGGAAACAGGAAGTGAGTTATTTACTTTTTCAAACCTGAGTGTAGAGTTCACCTATTTCAGAGACCTTGGAATATGACGGGTGAGCACTTTGCCCAGCTGGCTTTATTTTTGCTGACCTGAGTCAGGAACCTATCAGTTGGGTAGACTCAGGGAGATGTAATGGATTCGAACCCAGGATCCAAACTTGAGTTTCAGGTATGCAGTGCATCAGATCATGCAATTGCTTAACAGGACGTGAGGTTGCCATCATTTATAATTACGCTATTTACAGATATTTTAAATCAGGGGTCTCCAAACTTTTCAGTCCGAGGGCCGCATTAACTATCAATTTTCAGTTCGGGGGCCAGTTTCTTCCAGGCATGTCTTTGATTTTTCTGGGTAAAGTTCCTCAGCCATCAACAACAAACGTTTTTGTCCGTGGACAAAAAGATCTCCGCGGGCCGGATGAGAGGACCTCGCGGGCCGCATCCGGCCCGCGGGCCGTAGTTTGGAGACCCCTGTTTTAAATAATAAAGTTGGAATGGCATGGTCTGACAATAGAGAAAACTACTGCCAATCTGAAAGTTGAGTTTGGATCCATGACTTGAGTCTGTAGGACACCATTGAGTCCACACGGTTTTTATGGGTACCCGACTTACATTGAGGAAAACAAAGGCAGCTGGGCATAAAACTGACCACGCTGCCCATTTATAGATAAAATAGGTAAACTGCTCTACACTTGTCCTAAACTAAAAGAATAATTATCACAATGAGTTTTACAAAACCAGATTTTGAAATGACCTTGACCTACCTATTGACTCGACCTCAAGCAGACTGAGGAAGACAATGCCAGAGAGAGAGCACATCATCTGTAGCAAGCCAGAGGTCACGCCCTCCCCCACAGGGTAGGAGACTTCAATGACTAGCTCAAAGAACAACGGGGCCCCACCATCAAGGAAAACTCCTCCAATGACTATTGCTGCATAAATGCTGACTGTAATAAAGATATAAATAATATAAATGATATTTGCGAAAATAAAATAATAAAATACTTTTTAATGTAGTTAATATATGGGGTAAATAGTAACAACGGAAATGTTTAAAATCAGCATTTAATCATACCTACTACTGATCTACAACTGATATATTACAACATATAAATGCGTACCTACAGCTTATATTTTCTCTTATACTATCAAATTTCAATTAATTCCCCTTTCCCCACCCAAAATAATTTCATAATTCATAATTTCTCCTGACAGTTGCAATCAGAACAATTAATATTAATTAATTAATTAACCCTTTTAACCTAATTGAAAAACTTTCTAACAAAATATCACATAACTTACACATTTTAATTTAATTCAATTTATAACTAAATAACATGAGTAGAACAGTAAGTAGTACAAGATGATTGGTTCAAATCCATTTTAAAAAAAAAAGCCCAACAACTTTAATATAACTAAATCTGAGTATCTTGCAAACTATTCATATACCAAAAAGTATACTTTGTGCTATTTAAATTTAGTAAAAGGTTGTTTTTTTTAAAATAAAATAAAATATTTCATAAACAGATTTTTAATTATTTTAAACAGTGTAATGTTAAATGTCAACTAACCGAGATCAAACGGCAAGATGTCTAAAAATACAAGAGTGCACCACAAAATGGCCACAGCTGAGAAGAAGTAAAACACAACCAGAAATAATCGAATCTGGCGTGTAAATATGTCCGCAAACCTGGAACAGAAATAATTATTTTATGTTAAATTGGTATAATAAGTTTAACATAGACAACTGTGCAAAATAAATTAAATTTTTTAAATTAAACTTAGTAACTTTACATTATTTAAAATAGACAGATAATCAAGATGATGCAACTTTTTAAAATTAAAATAATTTAGCTAACATTTTTTTTAGTAGTTAAATAAGGAACTAAAATGTTTACCATAAAAATGTAATGATATAAATACATAAATCAATATATACACACATAAGATTTAGGTAGCCTACATACCTACAGACAAGCATCCCAGAAACACATCCACCTATAGTGGCATAAAAATCCATCCAACCAGCCTCTTCCTAAAATATTTATCAAAACAAAAACAATTAGTACAAAGTGACCCAAACTGGATCAAACAAATTTAACATACTAAAAACAAATTTGAAGTGGCTTGTTCTTAATTAAATTGAAATAAATTTAATGAAAGTATGAATTGTGGAAAAAGTAATTAAACTACAGTACAAAAAAAACAACAGTTGGCACCAGTTATAAATAAACTGAAATAAATTGTATAACCCAATTTACATATGACCTATGCTAGTAGTGTACTGTTTTTTTTTTACCTGTGTGACCCTTGACTCCAGGTTGACATCTAACACAACTTGCCACACCTCATACACACCTATAGGTACACTGTAGGCTATAGCAGTCAGCCAAAACTGTTTGTTTCTGTAAAATGTTCAAGATTTTAAACTACAATAAATACAATTAACTATAGGTACACTGTAGTCTATTGCAATCAGCCAAAACTCTTTGTTTCTGTAAAATTTTCAAGATTTTAAACTACAATAAATACAATTAACTGTATATACACTGTAGGCTCTAGTTGGAATCCAGGTTTAAGTCAGTATAACGTCCTTGGGTTTGGGTCCACTCAACTCTGATGGGTACCTAACTCACATTAAGGAAAGTAAAGCTGGATAGGCATAGTGCTGACCACACTATCCCTTCACATGCAGAGATCATAGGAACAGGTGAACTCTACATCCCATACTGTGTGGACTATAAGGTCCGAAAAGGGAATTTTACTGTTTGTTTTTAGAACATTTTCAAGAGTTTAAATAACTATAACTACAACTGATAAACATACAAACACTTCATAGAATCATATCAATGATATATATATATATAAAAATATTTGCTCCAAATTATCAGATAACATGTGTGTGAGCCATCTTCTAAATAGGAACTTTATGAATCCATCGTTTTAATAAGTTAAGTTAAAGTTAATTAAACAAATGGCCTTTAGGTCAAAGCAAGGAGCTGGACATATTACTACTAATTTCACACTTTTAGAAAAATATATAATTTAATAATTTAAATTAGCCAAAGTAGCTCATTTGTTTAAATGTGTTGTTAAAAGCAGATAAAGAAAATATATTTTTTTTAAATTGTCATTAGCTAGGTAGGCAAATATCCAAAACAAATGTAAACAGAAGTAGAATTTTTTTTTTAAATAAATGAAATGTTTACCTAGCAAGCATCTTCAGTCCTGGCAAATACTTTTCTCTAGGGATGGAGGCAGATATGCTTGGTGGAAGTGGAGGCTTGGAGGGGAAGTAGATGGCCACTAGCAGGAACAGTAGACCAGCAGCTCCACACTCTGTGTTAATCCAGGGGATAAAATAGGATGGTATTAACATACAGGGTTAAAATATGTAACATGGGACATAAAAGGTTAAAATATGTAACAATACATATTCAGGGTTAGATTATGTAGCAAAGTAGGTCTACAAATTCAGGCCTAACTTAGTATCAAGACATGAATTATGTAGTATACATCTAGGTTAATATATGTAATAATGTACCCATTCTGGGTTAAAATTAGTGACCTGATACATAAAAGATACATGTCATAGTATTATCAAGGTTAAAATGTGTAACAACGGTGATCCACGGTTGAAATGGAATTAACTTCATATTCTTCTAAACTTAAAGAAATAGTTTATTTTTAAATTGCATTTATTCAAGTTAAGAAATAATACATCTTTGCGTTATAATATATAACAGAAAAAAACATTCATTAGATTACTTACCAAAGTACATTATCGTCATGATTCCATCTTTTTGGGCTGAATAATCTAAAAAGAGAAATATTAAATCATTGCTTTGAAACAGCAAAAAAAAATAAAATAAAAAATAAAGTGATATCATTCATAACATTAAGCCAATTAAAACTAAATTTTAAAATATTTGCACATCTTTTCCACTCACCTGTGCCATTAGTTCCATTTGTAGCATACAAGTCAAATGTGCTGAGAAAAACAAAATACATATTTTAGCATTATTTAAGTTTTATTTCCTATCTGACATGCTGGTTTTAGCCCTCAAGTGAATCTGTGGTTCTTTATTTTTTTATGTTGATGTGGTTGTTGAACAGTTTTACATTCAAGTGCTCAGCATAGTAATTTTAGTAACAATTGTTAATTAAAGTTTGGTTCTCTAGGATAGTTTTCCTTTAGGAATTGTGAGGGAATAAAATGCTTAGTAAAAACTAAATTTAAATAATTTAAGTTAATCTTTAAATAACCAAGTTAAACTTATGAAAAGTAGTATTTAAAAAAAAATATTTTTGACTTACTTTAGCATTGAGTCATTATCTGGTGGTGTAGGGGGTAGAGGATCATCTGGTGGGGTTGGTACTAACATTGGACCTGAAAACAAAAGCCAGCAGTTTAAAATTTGAGCACAGAAATGTTTTCTTTTTAGGAGATGGGACAGTCAAAACAACTAAGAAAAAATGCAATTTTCTTGGGGAAATAAACTAACACTGTCATAAAAATTATGCCATCTAGAATATATGATTTTAAAAATAAATGTTTACCCCAATGCTGATAAATGATATAAGAAGTAAAGTTCCCTTTTCAAACCTGATGGTCTATAGGGCAAGTGAAGTAGAGTTCACTTGTTTTTGTGACCTCGGCTTATGAAGAGATAGTGTGGTCAGCACTAAGCCCAGCCGTCTTTATTTTCCCTAACATGAGTTAGGAACACATCAGAATTGATTGGACTCAGGGACGGTCTACTGAATTGAACCCAGATTCGAACTCGAGACTTACAAGTTAGCAGTCCAGCTCTCTACCACTAGACCACTCAGTCCTATGTTATGTAGTCTACAAATTGAATTAACAGCGTTGTCAAACGTGTCAATTCTTTCAATAGAGTCCAGGACAACAAAAAGTCTGGATGGACAGCCCTGACTTAGAACTTTAAGCACAACGATTGCAGTAGACTTACCAACGATGAAAGAGACACAAGCGCCCAGGTACCCCAGGACTGTGGACAGCGCTGTGGCCGTGGCCCGCTGATTGGGTGGGAACCACAGGCCTGAGAGCAGGGCTGGGCCACTGATGGGGACCGTCCCTGCGATCCCATTTATAAACTGGCCAGCGTTAATCAACCTACAAAAACAAAAAAAACTGAATTAGTTAAATCATGACCAAAAAAACTTGGATTGTTAAAATTATGTCATCATGTTAAAAAAAATTTGGACTACTTTATTGCGTATAAAAAAGTTATGTTGTTTATAAACTGGCTAGAATTAATAAAATTAGCTTTATTTTCCTAAATCCTATTTTACACATTACCAAGCCCAAAATTAACATTTTGAGCTTGAATATACCCAATACTGGGTGGCATAAACCACAGAATGGTCATACACTGAAGGAGTTATATTATATATATGTGGTTGGCAAATGCAAATTGCTCAAATGCAAAGTTTTTACACAGTATTTTTACACACTGTCAGCACAAAACACGGTGGCAGTGGCGTAGCGAGGTCGGGTGTCACCCGGTGCGGCACTTAATGGTGCCACCCCCCAGAGGTGTAGCGACCCTTCACGGGGACAAACTTTCAAATTTTTGAGTTGCACCCCCCCTCAAGTTTTTCTCTATATATTTTGCCTTGGTGTCACCCCCCTAAATGGTGTCACCAGGTGCAGTCCGCACCCCCGCCCCCCCCCCTCGCTTCGCCTCTGCACAGTGGATTATTTAAGAGAAAAATAACTCTGTATTTTACACTGTTTGTCCTCTGGTGGCATTTATTGATATCCTTTACTAGTGACCCATTTTTTCCTATATCATGATAGTTAGCTTTCTCTATCCTGCACACAACACATTTAATGATATCCCAAACAGCCAAACTGAATAAAACAATGCTAATTAACTTAATCAAAACTTGTGTAATTACCATTTTGCTGTCTTAACATCACAGGGGATACATCTTAAGCCAGTGCCCAGGAACATTAGGCCACAACAAAGCACCATTGGGAACCTTAGTCCTAGGAACATACAAATATAGGAACATAAAATTGTAGGAATATATAAATATTGGAACATAAAAATGTAGGAATATACAAATGTAGGAACAAATTTTCCAGTTGGTGTACAAGTACATGTTCACAACCAGACAGTAACAGCTAAATGTACACATTATTATAAAACACTATATAAATTCATAATAAATGTACACCTATACATAATATATACAAGTTTACAAAGAAGGGAAAATACATTATAGATGTAGAAAAGCTTAAAACGAAGTACTATGTTGGGTTTGTAAAAATATAAAAACACTCATCATTTTTTCACTACTTTTTTTATGGGATGGTTAATAGTTCGACAAAAAAAAGTGCCTAACTATGTAATAGTCTGAATAAAAAATAAGACAATTTGATCTAATAAATGTAAAATATTTTTACCTTTAACATCCATCAGGTAGGCTATGGGGAACATGGTGACCAGGAAAGGGACATTACCCAGCCAGGTAAACATGGCGATGTCTCCATCATCCCACCCAAACACCAGCTCCGCAGCCTCAGCGATGGGCCCCCAGGTCGACCAGACCGCGTTCCAGATGAGGGCAGCGAAGGAAAACAAGGCCAGCAGGTACCAGCGCCTGTGGTACACCTCCGTCCTCGTCTCCACCTTGTTCCTCTCTGGCGCTGTCTTGTCCTCTTCCTCCCCGGATCTTTCACTCACACGATCCTCATCTGATGAATTCTTCTCCTCACACGAAGCTTCAACCAATCCATGATGAGAATTATCTAAGTTTCTAGAAAAATCATGTTCTCTAGGTACAACACGGCTTGATGCGTTTGAAGAAACTGGTCTCGAATGATCTTCTCTTCGAAACGGACTATTTGAAATTCGAAAAAATCCTTTATTGCTAAATTCCTGAGCTGATTTATTATTTAATCCTGATATATCATCTGCATGATAAGACTGAACATTAGAGTGATGTGAATCATTTGATATAGGATGAAAACCTGGTTGACTAGAAGTGTTTTCTAACATGCCGAGACTACCATACCGGTTAGACGGTGATGTTTTGTGGACCAGATATCCGTTCCCCAAGACCAAAGAGTTCAGTTTGCTGCTTCCTTCAATGCCGGCAGACTGCGGTCTGCGGAACTTCTCCTGCCGTAGCAGGTGGACAGAGTCCTTGACCAGGAGCGTGCGCTCACTATCAGCACTCGCAGACACATGTGTGAACTCACCCTGAATGGGGGAGTTCCTAACGGCAGACTGACCAGTGAATCCACGTCTGCTGAACACCAGGCTGGTCGGAGAGCCGTATCTTCGTGGCGACGTACCACTGATGGGAGAGCCATATCTCCGTGGCGACGTACCACTGATGGTGTAATCCTCTTCTGAGTTCGCTACAGGACTTTGTAGTTTCCTTGCCCTGGGTGAGAGAATTCTGGTGCCTTGACTCAAAGGGCTGTGGCTGAGTGGACTATTTCTTCCTACAGGGGACCTTGACAATGCTGAAAATCCATCACTTTTAATCTCTCTATAACTATCTATAGTTTGTATTTCTTCTGAAGGATTTACTGTTTTAGTATTTTTCACTTTAAAATTTGAAATTTTAAACATTGGTCTATCAACTTCATCGTAACCCGTCTCGTCAGGGAATAGATTTTGGTCCTGTTGATTTCTGCTGACTGACGTGTTGTTGACTTCAACATTGCTGAAGTCAGCTCCGTTATGTATGCGAGGTCTGGACTTGTCTTTGGGCAGTCCCAGACTCTCTAGCGTGGAGATCAAACCCAACTCAGAACTACAGCTGGCAGCCTCACCTGAGACAGCAGCTTTATCCCTGGGAGGTGTGGACGAGCTGTGAGGCTCAAAGTCCCCCCAGCCTGCACTGTCAGCTTCAAAGGATTTCAGACCATCCTGAGAAAGGTCTAGAACTCCTGAATGCATCTCGTTTGGAAACACTGTAGTGTACGGCCTTGACCCGGCCTGACCTTTCCTGTTAGCATCCATTTTAGAAGTTAATCAAAAAGTTAAACTTGCATTTTGGTATATAAGAAACGAAACTGGTCTATTTGTTGCAGATGTGAGATCTCCTATCTGCGACATGGCGAGATAACTCTGACACACAATTTCCGTTGTTCGTCTGACCCCTTGCCTAGGTATACAGCGCTGTGTTGACCACAAGCGCTGCTGGGTATTGGGCGGTACAGCTGGTGGTGATGACCGTGGGTACAGCTTGACCATTGCAGTATAAAATTACTTGATGCTATCAATATGACAGTGTTAAAATACAGTCTCTCAGAGTAAACACGCACACATTTTTTTCAATACGGCGTTGAAAGGGAGGTTACCCTATGCAGTCTGTAGTGTCCATGGTTATCCCTGTGGAAAAACAACACAACAAGTTATTAAACGGCATCATTTAGAATCTTTTCAATGGTCTTTTAAACGTGGAGATTTCTCCACATATTAAATACGTTAAAAAGCCTTTAAATTTACATTGAATCTTACAGTTTTAACGTGAAAAATACGCACACATTTTTAAAAAGTTAAAAACGTAAGTCTCCGATACAAGTTCAAAAGCCCTATCACAGGGGTCGGCAACCTTTTGAAACTGAAGAGCCAAAAGTTACAATCTACAAAATTTCCCAGACTTTAATGAGTCACTAACATTTGTATGTGCACTTCGGTAGTGGAAGGCTTGGAACCATTGCCACAGAGCTGGTCACAGCATAGTTGTGGGGCTGGGCCTAATGCCCTAGGCCAGGGGTCTCCAAACTTTTCAGTCCGAGGGCCGCATTAACTATCAAATTTCAGTTCGGGGGCCAGTTCCTTCCAGGCCTGTCTTTGATTTTTCTGGACAAAGTTCCTCAGCCATCACCAACACACGTTTTTCTGTGAACAAAAAGATCTCGACGGGCCGGATGAGAGGACATCGCGGGCCGCATCCGGCCCGCGGGCCGTAGTTTGGAGACCCCTGCCCTAGGCTGTCAACTGTCCATATACACTCTACTCCACCTATTCTCATTGTTTTTTAATTTCGTTTAAAGTTATTGTTTTTACAGTATAATTTTTTTTTAGTTTCTATAATAAAAGAATATAATTATGATAGAACTAGAGAGCCGCATATTGACATCAAAAGAACCGCATGCAACTCGCGAGCCGCAGGTTGCCGACCACTGCGTGCGAGTAATTTGGTTACCACAAGAAATCTTGTATAAATATTTAGAGAAAATGATTTGAGCCATAGTGACAGTGATTAAAAATAAGAAATTCATTGTATTAAAGCGAAGTTATCTTACATAATTACAAGTTTCGTAATTTAATTAGGGGTATTTTTTCTATTAATATTAATAAAATTTTAAAGGCAGACAAAATTAGTACATAAATTTTATTAATACTTATAGAAAAGAAATAAAAATCAACAAGGATTTACATAATTATTATATTTCCACTGGGGTATTGGTATTTTTTGTCAATTTGATAACATAATTTTAGTTGTTTCCCTTATTTGTATAAACTAGTATATGGGAAGTAACAAAAAAACCCAACCCATATAATACATATCTATCAAGTTGCAACATTGCTGTGTCTTATAGAACATTATAGAACAGGGGTTGGCAACCTTTTGAGACAGAAGATCCAAAAGTCACAATTTACAAAATTCCCCACCTTTTAAAGATCCACTAACATTTTAATTTCAATATTACTATTACGATCTTTGAATAGGATAAGATATAGGTATTGACACTTTTTATCCGATCGTCATGAAACTTTGTGGAGTTGATGAGAACACTCCAGGAGAGGTTTCTGCAAAAAAAAAATTGTTATGGGCAGCGCCTGGGAGGGTGCGATTTCCGTCAATACACTTTTTGGCGCCCATAGTTCCAGAGCGGATATGTTAGCACTTGGCATCCTTTAATCGGGCCTCCTACATAGTGGGTAAGGGGTATTACTATATTCAGCGGCAAAACTGCAACAGGCGCAGCCGCCGGCACCTCGTCGATAGCGCGACTTAATCAGTGTTTTCCTGTGTTATGACTATGTTAAATGCGTCGGATTTTTAGCTAATTAGTTATTTCTTTGCTTTGTCACTAATATCGTTCAGCGTGTAGTAAAGCACATTGCGTTTTGACCAATGACTATTTCATAAATTATTTTCTTAAACAAGTACATTTTAAAATATATAGGCCTATAATTCACGTGAAACGGGTACCGATGGCTAGTTCTAATAGAATAGCGAGTCTTTATTGTTTAAATTTATTATTATCTGATTCATTACCGAGTGTTGCAGACCAATAATTTTATGAGTTTTAAAATAAAATAAAATAATTATTAATATTTGTGCATGGAGCTGAAGAGCCGCACCTTGACATCAATAGAGCCGCATGCGGCTCGCGAGCCGACCCGTGCCCTATCCTATTAAAACTGAAACGATTCCCACTGAACAAATGTGAAAACAAACTCCGTATAAAATAGCCAGTAATCGCTGAGCCAGCGGTACAAATCATCACTGCTATCAGCGAGAGATTACTCCCGTACAGGCGTATGATATCACCCGATAGCGGAGATTGTTTTTTAAATGACGCTAATCTAATTGATATTCAATTATCGACTACGTCTGACTGTATGGTAGATAAATCAAATTTTAATACAATTTTCAACCCGGCGTATGTCTTCTTTCTCCTTCGTTCTTTATTTTAATGTTGGATGGTATTCCCTCCAACACAAATTAAGTATTACGTGTCAACTTGTTATGCGCCATATAGCACGTTGGCTCCAATTTCAGCCTGCTTTACTTTTTGGATTTGCTTCATAGCCTTTGCAGAATTTCTTCCAGGCATCTCTTCGGGAGGGGGGGGGGGGGCAGAGGAGTCTACCGCCCCCCCCTCCCCCGAACGAGATGGAATTTATATAGTAAACATGCACTTTTACTAGTGTCCGCCGTCCGCCCCCCCCCCGAAAATATCAAGTGCCCCCCCCCCCCCCCGGAAAAAAAAAGTCTGGGAGAAAAAAGTATGGAAGAAACACTGAGCCTTTGTCCAACCAAGAACAGGTTACAACTTCGAAGGCAGCAGTTGTTTGATTTTGGAATTTTATATCCTAGACGGGTTGTTGTCCCCGGGCTATCGAGTCCCATCTACATGTGGGTTCGAACCCTCGGGCAGATGAGGCTCGTTAGCTGGGGACAGCCACTCTTCTAGGAGAGACAACTCCAAAATTAAACAACTGCTGCCTTGTAGTTTGTTCTTGGTTGGGCAAAGGCTATAGAAGCAAATCCAAAAAGAAAAGCAGGCTGAAATCGGAGTCAATGGCCTCAATGGCGCATAACCAGTTGACACGTAACGCTTAATTGTGTTGGAGGCGTGGTCGAGTCGGCAAAAAGCTCATGGCTGGTAAATTCGAAAAAAAAAAAACTCGAGGTCAAACCCACTGGCAGATAAATCTCGATCCCCCTCAACACTAATAATTAAGAACGAAGAAGAAAAGAAGAAAGACTTAACATAAAAGTCTCGAGCTCGGAAGCGTCAAGTATATTTAATATAGGGTTATCTGGTACGTCTAATCTACGATAGTCAGTTAAAAACGTGATGCGAATGGAATGCCGATAGATAACTAGAGGTTCTTTGTCCTCCAAACGATGCTTATTATCTGCTCTTGAAACATCACTTCAACAGGCGTATATTTACCATGATTGCTATGGCAACCAGGCGAACGAATGTAGTGTTTAAAAAATTATAAGAAAGTGTTTTCCGGTATGCTAATACGATAAAAATGTCACCTATGTTGAAGCAGAATCCAATTAAAATGTTAAGATTAGATCTTTAAAAAAAGATAAACCTGATCACGTGACGCCTCACAAGGTAATCACATAGAACTCTCCTATCTTGGTGGTAATAGAAATCATTGTTGACACCGAGGGAATGTAGGGCACTATAGAATAGGTCAACTGGGTGAGGAGTTACACTATGATCCATGACTAATACCCGTTTTTTGCAACTTCTTGGTCATACATTCAACATAAGTGATTCGCTTTCTAAGAAGTAGAAAAGCACAACTTTTGTATTAGACGGCCCATAAAGTAGAGTGCAACTCGGTGTATGAAGGGGTGGTGTGGTCAGCACTATAACTATCCATATTTACTTGCGCTACTATCAGGTACTCAGTGTGGACTCAGTGATGTCCAAGGTCAGGTACCCAACAGAGCTGAGTGGACTCGTGGACTCAGTGATGTCCAAGGTTAGGTACCCAACAGAGCCGAGTGGACTCATTGATGTCCAAGGTCATGTACCCAACAGAGCTGAGTGGACTCAGTGATGTCCAAGGTTAGGTACCCAACAGAGCTGAGTGGACTCAGTGATGTCCAAGGTTAGGTACCCAACAGAGCTGAGTGAACTCAGTGATGTCCAAGGTCAAGGTACCCAATAGAGCTGAGTGGACTCGTGGACTCAGTGATGTCCACAAGAGCAGAGGAGACCCGGGCAAGTCATATGGATGAGCCCTTGAGCCAAGCCCCAGACAAGTGGTAGTGATGGAACGA